TGTATGAATGACATTGATTCTCAACCAGTCTACTGTCAAATTTTGGTAAATGTATACAATGTATTCATGCCTTCACAGAGTTATATATAATATGTTATATGGAGCCCGATCCCTAGTAGCCGCGCAGGTCAGTGGAGAGCAAGGGCCATCTTTCTAGGCATATAAGATGTTTCCTGGTATTTGAGACTTTTGTATAATGAGAACGCAGGGCAGTAATCATATTACTCAAACACAATCACTTTTCTAAGTGTGGTAACTGTGCATGCTTTTACACTGTAAACCACTGTGATAATTTAGTAGAGATTGTATTGTAATTATTGCTGGCTTGTTGGTGTGCAGCCAGAAATTCATAATACGCAATGATTTCAGAGAGGTAGAGCACCACAGATACAATGGATGGAATTAAAGATAAGGAGCAAGGGGGAGACCTTTACAAGAAAATTTCCAAGAAATTTGCAAATGTGCTTAAAGCAGCAGCCGTGCCACCCATGACATTTGTAAATACTGGCATATGGAATCATTCTTCCTAGATTTGAATTTGCTCTTTTAATAGGAATGAAAGCCATTTCCTGAAGGGGCGGGGTGGGGGAGATCCTTTATAGCTGCAGCTTCTGAGCCTAACAGCACTTCATTCTGTGAAAAACCAGACTGCTGTGCCGGAGTCAGGAGCTAACCCTGCTGTGTGAGACGCATTCTGGATGCCAACATACCCTTCAGTTTAGGCGTTTGGGACCAGTATTGTGGGGAGGGAGCAGGGCCCAGACACCTTGCACCCGCCTTTCCTAGAAGGTCAGTATAAACATAAGGTAACCCAGTGGCACCGAAACCCGTAAAAGGGCTCCTTCAGGTGAGGAGAATTACAACAACTGGTAAAAACTTTGGAACCATGGCATTTAGGAGGAAAGAGAATTGGCTTCAGGACCAGGTAAGACTAGGTCGAAATCCTAACTCTGCTGCTCATTTCCTATGGGGTAAAAATGAACTTAGAGGATGACAACCTCTCTGAATGCCATTTCCTCATTGGGAAAATAAAACCAACTATAACCACCTAATGAGGATTTCATAGGACAACACAGGTAAAGCCATAACACGGCAGATCCTGGATGCAGCAGGTGTTTGCTGCATCAGTGAATGAAGCAGAGAACTGGAACCCCATCAAGAACTAGAATTGTCCCTCTGTGGGAATAAAGAATAGACTTACGAACTTTGGCGATTTTCTCTCTCAGGAGGTAGAATAGTGAAGAACTTTAGTTCTGAGGTCTGAATGCTTGGGCTTGACTTCTGCCGCCACATTTTACTACCTGTGTGACGTTGGGCACATTGCTTGATTTCTTAGTCTCAAAACCCTCATTTTTAAAAGGCTGTACTAATAGTGTCTGTTCCATAGGATCTGTGATGGAGATTAAATCGAGGTACTGAATGTAACATAATAAACACTCAATTATATTAGCCATACACGTGTGCCTCTTCACAGTAGGGCCAGAAAAGAATGGTTCAGTACTATTTCGTAGCTAAAGAGCATGATCTGGGGTAGTGTTTAGAATATCTGACCCTAAAAACTTCTTTGGATTGTACTTGAGTATGTCCCAGGAATGCCTTTTATGAGTTCTAGTTTATCATTGTTTTTATGTTCACATTGTCCTATTGTCCATTCTTTGAAAATTGATTTAGTAAACTAACTTGTGCAAATGAAAGATCTGAAACGGGTTAAGTTGATTGTGTGGTGAATTGTCATCTTTGTCATATGGATAGAAGGGTAGAAATCACTGGGGTGATCACATGTTCACAGTAGGCTCCATGGTGACTCATTAAACACCCCACACAAAGCAAAATGTCATCAGAAAGGGATAAGGTCAACCCAATGTAAAATGTGTCTTCAAGCTCATGGCTTGTTTTATTACAACTTAAGCAGTATTAACAGGGATAAAAGTTGGGAAAGGGAAGCTAAATTCGAAGCATCAAAAAACAGAATGGGTCTGGACAGTGGCAGTTTTGATTTTTTTTTTTTTTCACTTTTAGGCAGTGTCAAGTGCTAATAGAAGCTAAAATGAGTGACACTTAGAGAAAGGAAAAACTTCCCCCTTGAATGTCTTTAAAATCTATAATAATAATATAATAATATAAAGTGCATCTGGGCATTGCCTTCTGCTGCAGTTCTCGTCTGGCTCCAATCCAGAACCGTCAAGCTACTCTGAGTGCTGATGATTCATATCCCAGCACCCTTTTATCTGAATGTTGCAGTGTCTTTTCTTTGTACTTTGGCAGTGATGTTACCTTGATGTTCAGAAATCTTTTAAAAGCAACACAGGCTTTCCTTGCATCTTGACAAATCATCGTCTGCTGGTAATGAAGAAAAAGTAAACCTAGTTCCGTGATCATTGTAAATATAAAGAAATAAATACTTTCAAGGGTTTTTCTTTAAATGTTCATGCATTTTGGGGCACCTGGGTGGCTCAGTCGGTTAAGCATCTGCCTTCGGCTCAGGTCATGATCCCAGGGTCCTAGGATCGAGCCCCACATTGGGCTCCCTGTTCCACGGGGAGCCTGCTTCTCCCTCTCCCACTCTCCCTGCTTGTGCTCTCTCTCTGTCTCTCTCTCTCTCTCTCCCCCTCTCAAATAAATAAAATCTTTTAAAAAATGTTCGTGCATTTTGAGATCCTCTGAAAAGTGATCTGGTCATCTTTCCTTGTTCTCCTTGTATAAATCAGCATGCTGCTTTTCAAAAGCATTGATCAAATGAAGTTTCTGTGGATCATTTGATAGTTGAAGACAGAATTTAGGATTTTTAAATGATTTCCCATCTTTAGGGATTTTTAAAAAGGGAAACAGGGATTATTTTTATTGTTGTTGTTTACATTTACTGCTGTTGTTGAAAAGTTAATTTGTTACCAATTTTAATATGCTTTAATGTATCCTCATAATAATGCTGTGAATTCACATGGTGCTTTTCTTTTTTTTTTAAGGATTTTATTTATTTATTTGATGGGGTGGGGGGAGAGAGAGAACAAGCAGGGGGGAGTGGCAGGCAGAGGGAGAAGCAGACTCCCCGCTGAGCAGGGAGCCCGACATGGGGCTCGATCCCAGGACCCTGGGATCATGACCTGAGCCCAAGGCAGATGCTTAACCTACTGAGCCACCCAGGCGCCCCTCACATGGTGCTTTTCATACATTTCATCATCTCTGACTTGAAGTAGTCATGTGAGGTTAGCAAGGCAGATTCTCATTGTCATTCCAACTTACATTTGAGGAAACTGAGGCTCAGATGGTTTATGACTCTCGCGCTCAACCAATAGCAATCTAGTCCTTAAATCGAGGTCTACTCACTAAAATGAGCAGTTTCCATTTGTTATCATGTCCTATTTCAGAAGGGAATCTCGGCTTCGTCAATGACTATTTAGCATCCGGAGTGAAGGTGGTAGTAGATCTCCTGGGCTGAGCACTGGTCACAACAACGTGTCCGAAGAGGTGGTTTTTGGGTGCTGCATTTTAAGGAGAACACTGGGAAACTAGAGGACATGAGGAGAGTTAAGAATCTAGAATGTGAGGAGCCTGGGAGCAGAAATAACCAAACAAATCAGGATTTTCAAGTATGGAGAAAGGAGGACATAGAGATGTAGTTGACAACTCTAAGTGTTTTATGGACTGCCTGGTGGAAGAGGAGGTAGACTTGTTCTTTGTGGTGTCAGGCAGCCAGAGCAGGATCACTGGAGAGAAGCTGCACAGAAGCAGATTTGTGCTCAAATCAAAAAAGAAGAAACCTGCTAAAATTTAGAGATGCCCCAAAATGGAATAGACCAGCTCACTGCCCCTGGAAAGTGTTCGCACTGAGACCGTCGGACTCGAAGACTAGATGACTTGATGGGCGTTTGTGTTCTGGCAGTAACACCGTTTTATGATCAACCTTCTAAGCGCTCAGAGACTTTCCTCGTTAGCTGAAAACAGAGGGTTTTGTAGGCTTTTCTGTCCTGGTTTTAGAAAGTTGTATACATAACAATTCCTGTTTCACACATCATTAGTTCCTGAGAAGTCTGTTCAGCTGATGGGGAAAGGTGTTATTAGTTAACACAAATAAGCAAAACTTTTGTAAGGTTAGGAACTGAAGCAGATGGTGTGATGTATACAGTGGTGTGTGTGTGTGTGTTTGTGTGTGTGTGTGTGTGTGTGTGTGTGTTGTGTATTTTAACTCTTTCAGGATGGAAGTGGGCCTGGGTTTTGCTGTGTTTGTCTGGCTTGTTACTTGCACTACTCTTTAGTACGGCCCTGGAACACAAAGAAATGGGGGGAGGAGCTCATTTGATTTAGCTGGTTTTAATTTTCTTAATATAGAAAATGATGGGGCCTCAAAAGAGATCAGCTGAAATGTGTTTGTGACATAAGCAGATTCACTAAGGGAAAAGGGTGACTAGGACCCAAAGTCACTGCTCCAGATCTAGCTCAGTCACTCACTGCTCTATCATTGTGCCATTGTGCCTTTCTCTAATGTGGAAGTGTTCTAAGAATTTTCTTTCCAACCTTTAAATTTTATGATCCTAATTCTCTCAATTTTATGACTCTGCTTCTCTATATTTGCATAGGAAATTGAGAATGGTCTCAATTATAGCAAAAACAATTCAGTCATTCATTTGTTCTTTAAATGACTTATTCATTTATTCAGAAACACTCATTAAATGAAACGCTGTTTCGAAATATCAAAACTTTGCTTCAATAGATGTGATTTTAAGAATGAAAGGAACACAGCAAGGCAGTCTCTTCCCGACTGAAAATGAATGTGAGGAGTTCCATATTTAGGGTGTTTTGAAAACAATGTAAATGAATTCTTCTGTAAAACTCTTGTTGCTGAGATTTGGAAGAGTCACATATCCCACATCCTAATGGGATGCAATAAAAATTTGTCATAATAAATGTTAGCACCAGCGTTATTAAAATTATTCCACCACTGATGACTCCGAGCAGGAAGTCTTTTCTGTATGAATAATCTCATCTTTTTCTTCTTCCCACAGATTCCAGAGAGGGGACTACCACATTGACGTCTGTATCAATGACTACCTGGATGTTTTCTGCCCTCACTATGAGGACTCGGTCCCAGAAGACAAGACTGAGCGTTATGTCCTATACATGGTGAACTTTGATGGGTACAGTGCCTGCGACCATACTTCCAAAGGGTTCAAGAGATGGGAATGTAACCGGCCCCACTCTCCAAACGGACCGCTCAAGTTCTCTGAGAAATTCCAGCTCTTCACACCCTTTTCTCTGGGATTTGAATTCAGGCCCGGCCGGGAATATTTCTACATCTGTGAGTATACAGAGATTTATTGTGTTGTGGGGCAGCTGCGAGCGCCCAGACTAATTTTTTACCCATGTTTCAGAGAATTGCAGAGAGCTGGACTCTGCATTACAGACGTCTCCTTGTAAATGCATACATCAAGATCCCTAGATACATTAGCTGGGAATTGAGAGCACAAATTAGATTAAAGACACAGCTCCTCTCCCCCTATGAAATTGCGTGTCAGCCTGTTCAGTGAACCACTGCTGACTTGTATTTCTTTTAAATGAAAATTGCTAGGACTTCTCCAAAGCTGAGGAAAAGAAAAAGAGATTCCTGAAAAAAAAAATTAAAGGAAATAATTAAATTTACAATGCTTGGAGTCATTGGATTTCTTATTCAGGTGTCAGCAATATCCTTTCAATCATCCACACTTGCAGTGGAGAAAGCCAAAACTCCTGCAAATGTCAGCATGCTGACAATAAATACTCTCTTTGCATCAAGGAGAAGAGACAATTATTAAGAGCAGCTGTGTCTTTAAACAGGCAAGAGCATGAAGAAGTATCTAGAAAGGGTTCCAGAGGAACTGGTATAAGTGAGTTTCCCACCTCTGACTCTGTTCCGACAGAGCTCTAAAACTTTCTCAGCTGACCTGCGCATTAATCATATTGCTGTAGCCTTGTTTTCCGTCCGTGACGTACACCATCACTGCTTCGGGCATCCTACTAGTCATATAATCTAGGTAAATGCTTCTCAAACTTTACTTTTCATAAGTCACTTGGGGATCTCGTTATAATGCAGATCTGATTCAGATGGTCTGCTGTGGGGCCTGAGGTTCCATGTTTATAAAGCGCCCATGTGACGGCTGATGCTGCTGGTCTATGGACCACTCTTTGAGTTAGGGTGGTTACAGGTGACATTTAATCTAGGCCGCTTGCTGTATATCTGGACTTTTCCTTCGCTAGTATCAAATATTTAAACTATCTGGCCTTTTCCAAATATTTTCACTATCAGCTGAAGGAGCTAAACATTTTTTGCTCAGAAGTACATTTTTTGAACGACTTTTCATGGCTCAGAAATGTTGTGGGGTGCAAGATCAAAAGAGATTCCTGTCCTCAGGGAGTGACCATCTGGTGGGGAGGAGAGGCAAATAAATAGGTGGTTGCTGAAGGAAAGTAAATGCAGGGAGCACTGGGTTCAAGGGTACACGTACCTCAACTCCTTGAAAGAATCAGGAAGTGTGGCTGCACGCAGTGGGGAGAGATCCAAGCAATACCACCCAGTGTGCTTGGCATTGACTTTTAACCCCTCCTTGCCAGACAAGCAAGATAAAGAACATTCCTGTTTTTCTGATTCCGTTTCTTCACCCTGAATGTCCCCACAGACTCCTAACCCATTTTTTTTTAAGTCTACAAGGATATCTAGCTCCTCTTCTCCAGAAAACAGAATTTTATATTAAGCCAGATTTCACTATCACACGGGCACTCCCACTTATATTGAGATTGAATTTAAAAAAGGAAATTGAACAGTACCAGTTTTATTATCTCAGTACATATTTTAGTCATTAGTCATGAGAAAACACGTAAGAGTCTTGATACTATCTCACATTCAATCCATAAAATAAGAAAAGGAATATTGAGTCCCACGGATGGAGGAAACACTGACCTACATTGACTTCACATGTTCTCAGGCACCAGGCTCCTGCCTTTTCCTGATTTTTTACTCTGTGAAAGAATCTCATTCAGCAAATGGGAAAAAGGAAAGAGGGAGACGTTAGTGGCGGGACGGCGATCATTAATTGCCTAATTCTAAAATATCCTACTGATGTAAGAGGAAATCATTGCCAATTTCACAATTTACATATTGATTTCTCAGATTAAAACACAACAAAAGCAAAAACCAAAACTGAATTGAGAGCACTGAGATAGGAAACATACCAGCTAAGTAGTTGATTGCATGATTATTAGAAATTATAGAATCCATTGAGGTTCATAAGCAAGATGTTATTATTCAAATATACCCATAGTGCTTATGACTGGTTTTTCCTCATTTGTGGTTAAATTCAATATTTCACTAAAAATCATTATGTGTCTTCTATAACATTCATTTAACAGAGTCATTTAACTGTCAAGGGCTCCTGTCAAAGTAATTGTTCCAAAATGCTTCAAAATATCAAGAGCTTTTTGCTGTTCAGCTGAGTTTAACCTGAATTACTTTTTTTAATGAAAGGTAAAATAGCACAAAATTAGCGGCAAAGAGATGTTCATTTATAAGAAGCACAGTGGCCTCATAGTCAGTTAAATTGAACTTTCAACCATGTTTTAGAACCACAAGAGCATCCTTCCCTGTCTTTAGTAGGGAAAGGGTTTTCTCTTTTCCTTTCACTGCTGAGAGCAAGAGTGGCAGAGCTAACGTGGATGTCTTACAGACGTTTAATATACTGTGGTCATAATTAAACTAAAGGATTCTTAGGGGAGAATTGGCCCTCAGTTGAATTTTCCTCTCTCCTAATATGCATGGAATGAACAAGATGATTGGGAAATGGCTCTTTTCATACTTATTACCTTACAAGAAGCTCCGTTGCCTATCTCGGGAACAAGCCTGACTAGTCGCCCACCGGTCAATTTTATAAAATGTTCTTAGACCATTTCAGATCCTCGAGGGCTTGAAATCTCTAACAAGTCTTCCAAGAGAAAAAAGAAAGCTGTAGCCCTTTGGTGGACCTGCTTTACAGTGCTGGAGGAAGGGTTGAGTATAGTGGTGAGAACCCAAATTCAAATTCACACTTGGCCTTGGGGAAAGAGAGGAGGATTTCATAGCAGAAAATCCATTCATCACTTACTCAGGGAGGACACAATTTAGAACGTTCTGATCAAGTTCTGCTTTATCCTCAGTAACATTGATTTCCTTCTTCATATGTGTTTGAGTTATACAAAATTAAGAAAACAGAGTAGTTGGAAATATGTGAAATTTCCTGTTTACTTTAGGAAAATGTCCTTCACTGTTCTAGATCCTTTATTTGTCCCCAAGACTGACTCTGTGCTATGTCCTCCTTTCCTTGGGAACAGGCAATATATTAAATTGTTACAGTCGCTGGTACTGCAAAGGCAGACCAAGCCCATTCTTGAATATGACAAATAGTGTTTTTAATCTACAGAAGTTATTCTGGTAAGAGATTGGCATACTAAAGTAATTACAGAAAGTTGGTGGTATTTCTATCAGTGATAGATTTGCAGAACTGCCAGTCAATAGATTATGGCAATAGTCATTTATATAGACTTCCTAAGGCAAAGAGTTATTTTAGAAACTTCAGAAGTACTCATTTTAGAAATGATTCTCATAAATATTAACCTAATGAGAACAAGTTTGAAAGAAGTTTTGCTGCTGTTATTTTTAAATCAGAAGAGGCAAAGGGAAATAAATAGGGCACTTTAAGTTATTTTTATAAGTCAGTAAAACACTCATTTTGAAAATCCTCTTTTGTAAAAGAAGGAAAACTGCGGCCTGGGCCCTTCTCTTGGCCTCACTAACTGTATGATCTTGGGCAAATCATTTCATCTCTCTGGATTTCTACTTCCACAGCTGTAAAATGACGTAGTTGCAGTAGATGGTTTTTAACGTTTCTTGGGAGCCTTAATATCCTAATCTTACTATATTTTATCTAAAGGTCTGCACACCAGGGTAAGAAATAACATCCATAAAGTGTCTCAGCCCAACACTTTACTTAGAAGGTGGTCAGTAAATGCTAGTTAAAGGGCTATGTTGAGGGCGAACGCAGAGCGGAGAGGCATCTTAACATTATTGAACTCGGTCTACCCCTGCCAACCTATCTGAGTCCCCGTCATCCATGGTCTTGACTAGTGCAGCAGGCTCCTGTTTCCCCCATTCATGTCACTGCCCTGGCAGAGCCCTCCAGTGACTTCCTGTCTGAGTAAGACAAAATCCTGAGTCTCTAACCTGGCCAACAGGGTCCTCTGTGGCGGGACCCTTGTGTTCCCCACCCTTGCCTCTTGGACTTCCTGTCCTCTCCCTCTGCCGTTTTGTCTCCACTCCAGCCCCACCCCCATCAGCCCTTCTTCCTGTTCCTCTTTCCTAGCTCGTGCCCACCCCCAAACTCCACAGGAGGGCCTTGGTGCCTTATCTTATCTCTGCCTGGGGTTCTCCTTGCTCCAGGCATCCACTTCCCTTGCTCTCACTTTCCTCCTGTCTGCTCTAAAGAAACGTCTTTATCGGAGAGGCATTCTGATCTCCCTTTTGTAAAGATAACGTCTCCGTAATCCTCTACATTCTTACCCTGCTTTAGTATCTCTCAAGCGCTCATCACCCTTGACACTGTGTATTTACCGGTGTTTGCTTATGCCCCGCCTGCTCTAGGTCCTGTACTACATTGTTTGGCACATAGTAGATGCTCAGTAAGTGAAGGTCCCCAGTGTTTACATAGCACTCGATTCCAAGCACTGCTCTAAACCCCTACAATTCTCAAAGCAGCAGGAGGAGGCAGTTCTGTCCTGACGTCCCACTGTATAGGGGAAGAAACAGAGGCACAGTTAGGTAACTAGAGAAAAGTTTGCACAGATTAAGAAGTGGCGGATCTGAGAGGAAATTAAGTGAGTAAACAACTAACAGGAATTGAAGAGATAAAGTCCTATGGCTTCTGTGCTTAAAAAGGAAAAACATACCTTATTTTGTATTTTTTTTTTTACCAGAAGGTTAAAAACAACGAGCACTACTGTTTAGAGAATATTACTTTATAAACTCTGCCAGAAACCCCAACTCAGATAGTATAGCAAGATAGATTTTAAACACATGTATGCAATTTCAGCTCTCCAAAGAATACTCCTCCATCTCCAAGGGATATTTCAACTGTCTCTTCCCAGATGGGCGACCCTTTTAATATGATAACCTTTCTGACCCAGAATTTGGGACACAGAAATTCTTAAATCCAGTGAATATTCAGCCTCTAGACTGAATCATGATTGCACACTTGATTTAGGAATGAGAGACCTACAGTCAAGAAGACAAATGTCATT